CTGGGGAGATCTGGGGAGATCTGGGGAGATCGCACCTCGGCGGTGGCCAGCTTAGCCCGGATCAGCTCCCGCGCGAGCCACGACCCGCCCGCCGCCTGGCAAAGCACCGTCTCCGCCTGCCACGGGTCGGAGCACACCATCCCCGTCCAGACGCGGAACTCCTCGTGCTGCGACGACCAGAGCAGCCGGCTCCAGCGCAGCCCGTGTGTGATCGCCTCCAGCGCCAGGTAGGCGACGCGGAACGAGGCGGTCGCGAGCAGCAGCAGCGACGCGATCAGCAGGACGTAGTACTGGCCGTTGGAGATCGAGCGCTCCTGCCGCGCGTGCTTGACGGCGGCGGTGCGAGCCTAGGAGGGGATCCCCCGGGAGTTTGTGGACTGTTGATCGAGTGTGCTTGTTAACGCGTGCTCGACGGCGGCGGTGCGAGCCTTCCCGACGGCCTGCCGCGGCCGCTGAAGCTCGGAGGCGGCGGTGCGCGCGAGCCGCCGCGCCCGCTCGACGCTCGCGCCCGGCTTCCGCTCCTCGACCACCTGCCGCAGCCGCCGCATCGCCGCCGGCCACCGCTTCGCCGTCGCCTGCCCGCCATCGGACGCCCGCCTTCGCGCACGCGGCGACGGCAGCGGCGCCGAGTTGGCGCGGCCGCGCTCCGCGACCGCCATCGAGCGGCGTCGCGAGAGGTCCGGCGTTCGCGGCGTCTCCAGCAGCGCGTCCGTCGCCGGCGAGAGGCTTCTCCGGCCGTCCAGCCCCGGCTCGGGCGTAAGTGGGTCGGCAGCCAAGAGCGAGCTCAGGTCGACGGCGCTCGACGGCTCGTGCCACTCGTCCGCGAGCGAGGCGGCGGAGGCGTTCGACTCCCGCGAGTCCGGGGCCACTGATCGATAGCTGTGTGGCATCGCGACGAGCGGGTGGGGCGCCAGAGGCCGGCCAGCGATCGGGTACACCAAAATTCTTTTTTTAGCTAGCCTCGAGCTCCTAATCTTTTACCGCATTGCATTTGTGCCTCTCGTGCAGTCCGCAGCGTCTACACTGACGCTGCGGACTCCATGGTCGCCTCTCCTCGCCGCAGCAGCGGGCGACTACGAGTGGAGGAGGGCCGCGGCGGCCTCGCAGACGACGGCGAGGCTCGAGACGCGGCGGAGCGGCGTCCGCTGTCTCCAAACGCTGCAGCGGGCTGCCTGAGCCCTCCTCGGCTGACGGCGGCCATGCTCGCCGGGCTCGCCGCGCTGTTTGCCGCCGCCGCCGTGCACTTTCAGGGCGATGCGGCTGTTTGCACCGTCGCCGGAGGCGGTCCGCATGGCGCCGCGGTGGTTTGCCTCGACTGGAGAGGCTACTACACGATGTGGGTGACGCTCGTGTCGCTCGTGCTGATGGCGCGGGACGCGCCGCCCGACCTGGTCCTCAGCGGCGCCACGCTGTCGCTGCTGCTGCTGCGCGTCATCACCGACGCGGAGGCGCTCCGCGGCTTCGCCTCGCCTTCCATCGCGACGGTCGGCGTTCTCTTTGTCCTTGCAAAGGCGCTCGAGCAGACGGGCGCCGTCGACGCGCTCGTCGTGCCCGCCCTCGGCGCGCCTCGCTCGCACACGGCGGCCGTGCTCCGCGTGTGCGTGCCGACGGCGCTGCTCTCGGCGCTCCTCCGCCCCACAGCCTCACCTGCTCGCCTGCCTCACTGCCTCTCGCACACGCACCGCCCACACTGCCTCTCGCACACACACGGCCACACACGCCGCTCGTCGTCAACGCTCGCGCCACTGCGTCGCCGTCCCCTCGGCCAGGCCTTCCTCAACAACACGCCGATCGTCGCGATGCTGATCCCCGCGTGCGAGGTGCTGGCGCGCCGGCACAACCTCTCTGCGAGGGTGAGAGATCGCCCGAGATCGACCGAGGCCGCCCGCGAGATTGGTCGAGATCGCTCGAGATCGCCCGAGCTCGGCGAGGGTGCGCTGCGGATGCCCCGTCTCCTGGGCGCCGATGCTCGGCGGCATCTCGGCGGCATCTCGGCGGCATCTCGGCGGCATCTCGGCGGCATCTCGGCGGCATCTCGGCGGCATCTCGGCGGCATCACGGCGGCATCACGGCATCTCGGCGGCATCTCGGCTCCTGTTGTCTCGGCTGCGTAGGTGCTGCTGATGCCACTGTCGTTCGCGTCGATGCTGGGAGGCATGTGCACTCTGATCGGCACCCTCGGCCAACCTCAACGCGCAGCTCGAGAACTCTTCATGCCCGAGTGTCTCATTCTTACTCAGGCACCTCGACCAACCTCGTCCTCAACGCGCAGATCAAGATCGACCCGTCG